GGTACCAGTTGAAGGGAAATGTCGCTGAGGGGTAGGATTCATGGTTGGAGTGTCCCCTTAGCTACCTTTACCTGAACAGTTTTTCAATATGAACCTTTTTGTTTCCTTGTTTAAATAAGGGTCTGATAAAAAGGAGAATCAGCACGTGGCTAGTTCAGGCCACCTTATGAAATCAGGACAGAATTTGACTTTTGGCTCTTTCCATTTATCTAAAGACAATCAACAAAATATTCATAATTAGTATTTCACACCGTAAAACATACTGGGCAAAACTAAACGGAAATATATTCTATTGCCTTGGGGATATTTTTTGCATGTGGGAGGTTTATCGTGAAAGTGGATAATACCTAGTTCTTATTGCTCACTGTATTAAGCAGTGTTATCACTTGTACCATGCACAAATACGACGACAAACGCATGTAACGTCCACAGAAGGGATTCTAATATCAGAAGGAGAAAAATGGGTTATTTTTACTTCCTGAATTTTAACACATAAATGGCAAATCTGATCATTTCTCATCAATGGGGCGGGGAAGTGAGGTGTGAGGGTTTGTGAGGTGTCTCCCACCCAGGAGCAGGCAGGAAGTGTTCACAGCTCTCAGTAAAACCAGTAAAAGTGTCATGTGTCCAATTCCCCAAATACTGAACTTCCCTCTTCTCTGCACCCTAATCACTTTCCTCTTTAATACATTTTTACTGCTCCAGATTTTCTGAAAGTTCAGTTGCTAGTAAGAAGCCCACTGGAGGTGTGAAAATAGGCTGTATCAAAATGGCAGCTTTTGAACTGTATCAGTTCTGTATGATTATAGCTCCATGTATGGAACATGCATAGAGGGGATTTCTGGCATGTCATGCAGCACAGCAAGGAGTATGTGCTGTTATGTAAACGAAAAGCTGCCCACCTCCAATCTTGATGTTTCTAAGAGGTTGTACTAAAATGGTAAAGTTGATTAGAACTGGAGTGGAACCTATGGGGGGTCTCTCAGTGGCTTGAACAAATGTGGCCAAATTTATTTGCATTATCAACATCGTCGTCATTTACAAAATTTCTTAGCGGTTGTACTGACATATTTCTTCCCCTTATTCTAATGCTTCTGGGCTAATGAAGAAAGGATAACCCTTCGAGCCAAACTGTCACATAAGAAGCTGAAGGCAGTGGTGTTGTAGCCTTGTTGGTCCCAGGATATTAGAGAAACAAGGTGGATGAGGTAATATTGTTTATTGGACCAACTTCAGTTGGTGAGAGAGAGAAGCTTTCAAGCTGCACAGAGTTCTTCAGGTCTGGGAAAGGTACTAAGGCTATGTCTACACTGCACTTTCGTCTGTAACATTTTGTAGCTCGGGGATGTGGAAAAAACACACCCTGGGGCTAGGTCTACATTGCAGCAGCTGTAATGGTGCAGCTGCACAGATGCAGCTGTGCTGCTGTAACACTTCGGGTGAAGACACTCTAAAGCCAACAGGAGAGAGCTCTCCCATGGGCTTAATAAATCCACCTCCACAAGAGGTGGGAGAAGTTCTCCCGCTAACATAGCGCTATCCACACTGGTGCTTAGGTCGATATAACTTACATCGCTCAGGGGTGTGGATTATTCATACTCCTGAGCCACATAAATTATACTGAAGTAATTTGTAGTGTAGACGGAGTCTGGTTACAGATAGTTGTAATAAGCCACAAATCCAGTGTCTAAGACCAGTATTTTCAGTATCTAGGAACGTCATGAATTTAAGGTCCCAGGCTTGTCTTTTGAATTACCTCATAAATGCCTTAATAACAATTACAACTACGTGGATGAAACCAGACAATCACTATGTTCCTCAATGAACTCACACAGGAAAATGATAAAGGACAAAAAAAACCTGTCACCTGTGGGTGAACACTTTTCAAAGGGATCACTCTATATCTGACCTATAAGTCCTCATCTTCAAAGGAAACCTGCACAACATTTTCAAAAGACAAGCCTGGAAGATTAAATTCATAACTTTGCTAAACACTAAAAATCCTGGACTGATCAGAGACATTGGATTTATGGCTTATTACAACCATCTGTAACCCACTAACCCCCCCTTTTTGTGCTATGATGGAAGGGTTGTTAATTGGCCACTTCACCATGAACAGTACCTTAAAATATGTGCACATTACTTATGCTAAACTATCTAGTCAATCTTGTATTTAGCTGTCATCCTCTTAGGTCTGCACTTAAAACACTGCAACTGTGCTGCTGTAGCGCTTAAGTGAAGATGCTCCTACACTGACAGGAGAAGCGTCTGCATAGTTAATCCACCTCCGAGAGGTGGTAGCTCTGTCAGTAGGAGAAGCTCTCCCATCAACATAGTACTGTCTATAAGGGGGCGGGATTTTAGGTTGGTCTAATATAGACTTGGCTACACTCAGGACTTCCCAGCGCTGTGAAGCACAAGTGTAGTTGCGCCGCCAGCGCTGCGAGCGCTTTCTCGCGGCGCTGTATGTACTCCACATCTCCGAGGGGAATAGCTTGCAGCGCTGCGAGCGAGCGTGCAGCGCTGCAGGCTCTGATTACACTCGCGCTTTACAGCACTGCACTCGCTGGGGGGGGGGGGGCGTTTTCACACCCCTGAGCGCAGCAAGTTGCAGCGCTGTACAGCGCCAGTGTAGCCAAGGCCTATGTCTTCAGGGGGGTGGGTTTTTCACACCCCTGTGTGAGGTAGTTATACCAATATAGGTCTGTAGCGTAGCTCTGGCTTTCGTACCTTTCCCAGACTCGAGGAAGAACTCTGTGTAGCTAAAAAGCTTCTCTCTCTCACCAACAGAAGTTGGGCCAATAAAATATATTACATCACCCACATAGGAAGCTGTAATGCAACAGCCAAATAATTTGCATCTAGTAAGAAGTGTAGTAGATTTCGCTTACTGTTCTGCCACATTTTCTAATATGTGTGAGTGGAGCATTAAGCTCTTCCTGGTCTTTTGCACTGAAAGTTTCATGATCATCCCTCTCTCTATTAACGGTCTGCATGCACATCCCCTGACATATGGTATCTGTAGTGCTTGCATTTAGTTTCTTGTGCAGTTGTGAAACATTCCTCTCCAAACCATAGGGGTTTTAAATGCTAATCAGGGCCAGGATTTTATATTACAGCCATGTAATGTTAAATTGGGAGAATTTAATGCTTTGTACTGCTATAGCACCTTTCATCCAGGTTTTCAAAGAGCATCACAAATGTTAAGACCTAGAGCTTCAAAAGGGGGCTGGGTGACACAATTTTATGCATCTACAGCTATGCCCAGCCATTTGATTGCACCCACAATTCATGTAGATAGGCCTCTACTACAGAGCACAACACCAGGAGCTGAGCTCAAATCGAACTAAAAATCGAGGCCTAATTAATTAAGCCTCACAACACCCCTGTGAGGTAGGTAGGTAGGTATTACTACCCCCATTTGACAGATGGGGGCGCTCAGGCACAGAGGGGTGAAGTGACTAGTTCAAAGTTTTACAGTGAATTGGGGAGAGTCTAGAGCAGAAGCCAGGTAACTTCACTTTGTTCCTTGCTCTAAGATTCTCACAGCACATTGCCTGTGTAATACTTTGCTTTGAGCTATATATGCAGTGCGGCTGAGTTCATGTTGCTGTGTATGTCCTGGTTTCAGTGCACGTAAATTCGGTCTTCGTTACATTAATTCTGTGGTTTCTATTTAACGACCTTCTTTAAAAACCACAAGTGTCCCAGCCTGATTCCCAACTGCCTTAGCTCTGCCTCATTATGTGATGGCTGTTGCCCAGCCTGTCTCCCCTCCTAGCTGCAGGAGTGCTCCTGGCTTTCCCACGTGGCCCAGGGAGAAGGCGTTAACAGACCCAGGTGCATAGATTTTAATGTGCAGTCAGTTTGCACTTTCCATCCCACGTGCGGTCTGTTTGCACAGAGACACACACCTATTTAATTTGCATATATTGGCCCTGAAAGCAACATAACAGGGAAAGGGATTGTGGAATTCTCCATGGGAAGAGGCTTGGGAAGATCTAACAGTAATGGAGAGAGCTCCTTGAACACGTGATCACTAGATCACACGTCAATATCCGCTTTCTGCATGCTGAGGAGCTGCACGCTGCGTAACCCTCTCTCACATTCACTGTGCATCTGCCTCTCATTTTCAGAGTTAAACAGAGAAGTTCTGTGCTGACCAGCTACCTGCCAATATGAAAGAAGTACCCTTGTAAAATTATGTGCAACAAAGGTACCACTCTGTAAAACCAGAACTTTATCTGTCACTCTCACGCTACTCAGATATGGGATTTTGTTCATTACTTACCAAAATGTTCTTTTGGGGTCAGACCAATCAATGGAAATTTCAGCCTAAAAGGCATTTCTTCAGAAAAAGTTAACTGAAAGTGGAATTAAGAATGGAACATCCCTTTCTACTTGATCAGCATGTCGCCAGCACAGCACCAGAATGATGTGTTGACAATGTTGCCAGGGAGTTGTACATTGCTAGCGTTTTCCCCCATATGCTTGCATTTGACTAACAGCAATTTCACCTAGTTACATTATCATCTACTCCCCCTGCGCAGCCCCTGGAAGCATAAAAGCAATGGCTTGTACTTCTGCTCTGTGTGCATTATCCTTGTGGCACAAAATGGAAGATTTGCCTCGTCTCGCCTCCTTCCCCAATCCCTGGATATGTATAAATTCTGTATAAAAATCCAACTGTAAACATCCTTTCAGGATAAGAAATACATGTAGGTGGTTTAAAGGCTAACATTTTGTGAACAGACATACAGATTAATTGAATTTGCTGCTGCACAGAACTAGCTGTGAATGCTACACAAAACTGTCATCAGGTGCGTCTGGCCAAAGTACTGACAAGAGGAATTGAAACCTATTTGCATAAGGCCCTTGTCATACACTGTAATGCACTGCGCCAGGCTAATTTGTCTCATTACTCTGCACTGCTAATCATGGGTGTGACCATGGCTTCTCGGGTAATATTCTGTGGTTTTGTATTGATCAAGGCAAGTGGGTAGAAGCAAATACTGAGAACCTTTATGTGATTGCAAGTTGAATCAACTGGTATAAAAGACATTTCAACATTTGGAGGAAGGGAAAAATCTCCCTGGTGACAAAAATTTATAACCATTCCCAGATGGCAGCCTCAAGGGGCGTACTGTTCCCGGAATGCTATTGGAAGGTGGAGAATGGGATGAAGTCACTGCATTGGTAGTTTCAGGGCGCCTGTGTCCATTTGGAGGGTTCTTTTGTGGAGAAGCAAGGTGTTGCTGAATAGACAACTCCTTAAGTTCCAGCTTGTCTGCACTTTCATCTTTGCTGTGCCGTGGAGATAAGTTTAGCAAGCTGAGAACATCTCTCTTAGCAGTCATTGTTCCAGGAGCTCCTCGGAAAATCTTCATAGGGCCTGTGGAATGTTGGGGAGTGCTCTGCCAAAACATTTTCAGGTTGTGGATGGCCTGCACCTTTTCATCGATGGCAGCCATTTTTAATTTGTCTATATCTGGGGCATCAGCTGGGCTGGAGCGAGCAGAACCAGCTGAGGAGTAAGAGAGAGCAGGAGAGGGGGTGCTGCCCACAGGAGACTGATGCCCTGAGCTTGGGGAGATATTTCTGGGAGATTTAGAAATATGAGCGCTGTAAGGAGAGCTAGGGTACTTGAGTTTAAAGTGAGGGTGTTCAGTTAACGAGCCATGAGAGTCAGAATTCGGAGAAGGCTGCCCACTGTATGGGCCTGTGCCGTCTTTGTTGGACATCTCCGACGTTGTGGGGCTGTTATATCCGGAACTCACTTTCTGAAGGGATGAGCTCCTTGTTGGAGGCTTTGGTTTAATTGTAACTGGTGAAGGATGACTCCTCTGACTAGAGCTCAGTGGCCTACTGAACGCGCTGGTCTCTGAGGCTCTGAATACAGAAGCACCAGCTGCTGCTCCATCTTCCGAGTTCTTCTTCTTGCTCATCTGACTGCCGCTTCTTTGAAGACGTTCAACAGCAATAAGGTGACTTTGAGTCTCCTCCAGAATTTTCTGGGCCAACTCTTGTGGATCGAGCTTTGGGTTGTTCTCCTCTTGGGATTTGACAGTGCTGTCAGTTTCAGTGCTAGATTGGTCAGATTCTCCAGTATCAGAACTTGCAAGTTTTCCAACTTTTTGGAAAGGTGAGTTCGGACTGGGAATAAGAGTCATTTTAACAGGGGAATTTGGGGTACTTATGCTCCCTTTGGAACTGACAGAAACTTTAATCCCTCCAGATTGACCAGTTTTGGATTGTTTGTGATCAGGGGAAAATCTTGTTTTTATATTTTCTTGATAAGTTGCCATAGGCTCATTGCTAATGATAGAAAATCCTTCATACTCCTCATTGTCTTTGCTGGCTGCAGCATTGGTCTGTGGAGACAGTTGGCTCCGTGGCACAGAGGACCTTTGCGGATAGACATTCTTAGGCCTTTCATAGTCCTGTCGCCCCCTGTGCCCTGCACCTTCTGATGTGCTCTCTGGCTTGGAAACAAAACTCATTGAAGAAGCGATAGAGCTCAGGCTGTACACAGAAATGGCGTCTGATGCAATACTGTCTGGACAAGTAGGAGAGAAGGGAGGGTTCTGATATCCCAAAGGCATTGGGTTGGAAATGGACTGAGCAGAAGCCAGTGATTCCAGTGATGAGGAACTGTCCAGGCTAAGACGTTTGGGTAACTCTGTAGAATCTAAATAAATGAAAACAACAGCACTTATTACAATGAAAGCAAGTGGTACAGTATGTGCACCTAGTCTCATTTGTTTAACAACTCCAGTGCTGCTTCCACTACACAATTGCTAATTATGTGAGAAACATAATGTATGCATCCCAGGAAAGGTGCATGCAGGAACTCAATGCTTCTACCAGAAAAGAACTTGGTAGAGTTGATATTTTAGTCCTCCAAATCACCTCTTTATACAAGACTCCAACTGCCAGCAGACCTGAATTCTATTCCTAACTCTGGCATCAACTGGTTATGTGACCATGGGCAAGACAAAACCTCTGTGCACCGACATCCCTGTCTGTGAAATGAGGCTAGTATTTCCCCTTTCTTGCAGGAGTGCTGTGAGGTCTAATCCATTAACATTTAAAAAGCATGTTGAGATGCTTGGAAGGAAAGTGCTGACTCATAGAATCAGAGGGTTAGAAGAGTATTCCTGCATTGCTGAGCACTCTACAGCTGTGGTCATAGGACCATGGCTAGGGCAGGCTCATTTAGGACAAATATCTAAACATGCTGCTGGTGCAGTCACCTTACTCTAGCTGTCTCAGCCCTATATGGTACCATAAGGGAATGAGAACAAATCCAGTTTGCAGCCATCATAGGCACACAAGGCAATAGTGTGAGAGCGACAGGACCACGGGACTGTTAAGAAATATCAAACCTTGCACTGATGGGACACCAAGTCACAGCCAGCTCAGGTCAGGAATGAGCTGGTATTTGGTGGAGCTCAATCCTGGTCCCGGTCTACAAGTATCCACAGCACAAAAAGATACGTCTGCAGTTTGCACCCGTTGGCAGCCTTAGCTGAGTGAAAGGCCAATTGACGGAACCTAAACTCCCCTCTCATCACTGAAGCGATCTCTCCAGATTGTAGCTGAGGCATGTTGACAGGTGACAGTCCAGACTGCCCTTATGGTCTCTGTTTTATATAAACAGAGGACTTCAGTGCTGTCCCAGCACTAATTCATACGACAGAGTAGTAGAAAATGGGTGATGCCCCTGAACTGTGTAAGGGACACAATCCATATTCGCTTGACTGACAGCCACTCTTGGTTTGTAGAGAACTGAAGGCCCTTCAGTTTTACTCTAAAGGAGATTTAGCTCCAGGGGAACTAGTGACTTGATGAATCATAGAAGTTAGAGATGGAAGTGACCAACCCATCTCCCAAATTTTTCTCGGAGAGACAGAAATCGCTCCAGTTTTTCTTTTGCTCATCCACACCCCCCTATCCTCTGCCCAATCCTTGCCCATTAAGTGTCCCCTTCCCCCACGTTATGCCTAGTTCAGTGCACCACCCTGGGCCTCAGACACCCCACCCATAGTATTTGCCAAATAAACTCCCTCTCCTCCTTAAGTCCCCACTTCTCAGTGTTTGCAGTGAGTCTTCTAGTCAGAGCAGTGGTGGAGAGCTAGCTGCTCTCTGGCAGACCACTCACAAGCTCGGGAAGTGCCACACACCCCGGTTCACTAGATAAGTAAAAAAATTCACAGCAACTGTGTGAGATGCTTTCCTTTGTGCAAAAGATAATAATATTCCACCTCAATAGATACCATCATCCTCCAGCCATCAGATGGAGCAGGAGCAAATAATGTCACAGCACGTAGCCTTACCAAAAAGTGCCAGCAGGGACTGGAGAGCAAAGTGCATGGTCCTCCTATTAGCTTGTTTCCCAGTTTTCAGTATCACCTCCTCCTGCCCAACTTCACAAAGGTCAAAACCTGTAGGAGAACACAGAGCAGAAGACCATTTCTCACCCAAAGATTCTGTACCTTGAACTGGTCCCAGTAAGTGACTGATGCTGCACATAATCCCTGTAGAGCAAACAGACACGGCCCTTGCAGCGGCCTCGCTCAGTGCTGTCTCCTCTGTGCTGTAGCTGCCTGGTTAGTATTTAATATTTCTATTCCAGTAAGTGCCCACGTGTCCCACTAATGACTGGGGCCTCACTGTGCTAGGTGCTGTACAGACACAGTCCTTGCCCTGAGGACCTTACCTGGGCAGGATGGAGGAAAGAAAAATAACCAAATGTGTTCTATTTTATAGATATATACACTAGCAAATGTTTTCCTGATATTTATAAACAGAGTCAGTGCTAATTATGCCCCATGTGCCCCCTCAAGCAGTCACTGACTGGCTGATCTTTTAGCGGGATCGTAGCAGCAGTGGGTCTATGGAGAGGGCAATGGCCTTGGGGCTCAGTGCAGGGAGGGTTTGGGGCAGTCTGGAGAAGGCATGAGAAGATGACGCATGGAAGGATGAGGCTGGAGGGCAGATAGGAAGGCAATGACTTATCTTTGTCTTCTTTGCACTCCATTTCTTTCTAAGTGGCGGTACCCTCTCTTTGACTACCTACTTATATACCCTTGCCAGAAAATGGGGCCCAGGCAAAACTGGGCTGCTCTCAAATCAAATGGAAGTTGCCACTTGAAGTCAATAAAACCCAGGTCCTGCTGACTGAGGTGGTGTTAGGGTGCAGAAAGAAAGACACACACACAACTCCTGGGGGAATTTTGTGCCACTGCGCAATGCTGAATTTTGCAGAAATTAATGTGCACGCAGAATTTCCCTTCCCCCACAGAAATGGGCTGCAGTGCTGCTAGCTACCACTAGGGGCCAGTGGACTTGGCAGAACCCAGCTGGCACATAAAAGACATTGCCAGGGGAGAGGGGGAGGCAGCTAGAGTTCCCAGCATGTCCTGAGAGAAGGAGAGGGTGGCATGCAGGAAACTCCGTGCAAGCCTGGAACCGAACATCAGGCTGTTTCTCCCTCTGGGTCCCTGGGCTCTGGGGGTGGGGTGGGGGGGAGAGAGTTCGGGTGTATTGACTGAGGGGGACCCCCGTAGGTGGGCTCTGGGGCGGAGGGGTTGTGGGTATGGCCCCCGGCTGGGCTCAGGGGAGGGAGGGGAGCAGAGAAACAGGAACTGGGTTGTCATAGGGGGTTTCTTTAACTCTCTACTCCTGTGGGAATTTTTGTGTGTTTGTATTGTTATAGACATACTTGCTGACGGGCATTTTGAAATAAATTACCAAAATAATTGAATCTGGCATGATTATGTAGTGTTATTTTGACAAATGAAATTTGCAGAATTTTTAATTGTTTTGGCGCAGAATGCCCCCAGGAGTAACACACAGGGAGAGCAATCTCTGCTCACAGTGACCAGAGAAGGATTCACCGGGCCAGGTAACGAGCAGCCGGGCCATCGTGTCCTACATACCAAATGATGTAAGCAGCAAAGGTGCTTGTGAAGTATAAGGTGTTGGATGGCCACACAGACAGCAGCAATAAAACAAGGAAACATCATCTTACCTAAGGCTGCCAGAAACTCGTGGCAGCCAGGAAGCCTCCAGAGCTGGACACTGATGGAGACCTGGATCGGTGCAGAGGAGAAATCCTGCTCCTTCTCTCCTGCTTGGAGTTGAACCAAGACCTGATGTAGCTGAGGATGACAGAACAAACATCACCCTTTCCATACCAACCCATTCACCTCCTGGCTGACATTCGCAGCTGGTGGGGTCACACCGAATCTGCCATTGTCCTGGATAGTCACTAGTACACTCTAGTCAAGGTGCTGGCCAGCCCTGAGAAGAGACACCCAATCAAAGATCACACTCTGCATAGAGGGAGTGGCCCTACAACTGGCCGGACATTCTGCTGGGAAGTCTCCAGCAGGGACACGTGAACCCCTGTGAGGTGAGTTAGAGTGGGGCTGTTGCCAGAGAAAGGGCAGGAGGGAAGCACAGGACAGAAACTGCAGGAAGAAAGAAAAGGAGGAGGTGCTTAGTGGCTGCTCATAGCCACTCAAAGGCTATTCTGTAACTGGGGTAGTTGATCGGGCATGAAGCCAAACCCAGGAACGCCCCAGCTGCGCTAAACGAGACTAAGTCAGTCATGGGAAACAGCCGAAGGTTTCCCACATGTTTCCAGGACCTCTAGGAAGCAGTTTGTCAGCTGAGCCCAAGAGACAGGAGCGCTGGGGTGAGGGCAAAGCACTTTGTTACCAAAACATGAACTGGACCAAGGGGCATGTTCCCCTCTCGCACCCCCACAGAACTGCATTCACACACAAAGGGGAAGGCCTGGGTGAGGAGGAGGGGGAAGGACAAAACTCCACTCCCAGCCTCACCTATACTATGCCTAGTATCAGAGGGGTAGCCGTGTTAGTCTGAATCTGTAAAAAGCAACAGAGGGT